GAAAGGAAAGGAAAGGAAAGGAAAGGAAAGGAAAGGAAAGGAAAGGAAAGGAAAGGAAAGGAAAGGAAAGGAAAGGAAAGGAAAGGAAAGGAAAGACTTTAAACATTTAAACAACATATCCTATTAATTTAATTCTTTCTGAGAACAAATGTCCTGAAGTGCTAACATTTTTTTCTGGAATCATCACCATTATCCAAGAGAACATGGATTTCTCGAAGACAGGCTCTTTCATTTTTTCCCTAGCCAAAGAGTACCTAAACTGTGGTCTAAAAAGGAAAAGGGAAGGCACAGGTCCATACGAGATATCTGTAAAAGGGATAAAGGAAATTCACCACTAATCAAGCCCAGCATACCAGTGCCAAATAGGGCTGTAATTTCTACCAACAAATTCTGATGTTTTCATCACTGTTTGGACAAGAGAAATAAAGAGGTGACTCCAAGCAGGAAGGGAAGCAGGCAGCATTACAGCATAAATCAATTTGCTGATGGTGAGACAGACAGAAAGACACTGAGGCTGAGATCCTCCTTTGCATTACACTATACATTATACTGCTGTTTGCCTCCATGTTACCCACTGCTCAGCCTGTAGGGAAAACCTGCTCTATCAACAAAAGGCCTGCCCAGAAAGCAGCATCCTCTGCAGCTCGGGCTCCTCCTCACAGCTACACGTGAAGCTGCAGAGCAGCGAGAGGCAGAGCACCACTGCATCTCTCCAGCTCAACACTTATTAAGGCCCTATTAAATCACACAAACAGCAATGCGTGTATTACTTATCTTTCTATACAATTTTGGACATATGTGTTATTAGGACTGTGAGTCAGTCTCATAAGTCTTAATTCACTTAGCAATCACAGAAAACTCTTAACCAAAACCACATGCATATATTTATAGCGAGCTTTGAAAGCCTAGCCAATTATCCATAAATTTTGAACACAACTGTGCACAGCAAAGTAATATAAATCTGGCAGTGTGGCAAACAGCTGCAAGAYAGGCATCATACAAGCTCTGTAAACCAGATTCATCTTATCTGCTTTAAGTACAAGAGAAATGATTGCAAATGGCAACAATTCATTTGCATCTTCTTCAGCAATCAAGCCTGAAGTAACATATGTTATATGTTCATATGAAATATCTGTCATTTAGATGGTCCAGCTCATGAACGTGGCAGTACTTCTGGCCCAAGGTAGGCATCTCAGAAATACATACACTCACTAGGAAATGTGTAGAGGAGAGACCAGGGACCTCATGACAACACACATGATAAATCTGCCTGCTTCAGAAATAGGAAGTGAGTAAATAAATACCACCAAGACAAAAAGTCCTCAAAACATTAACAACTACAGGAAATTGCATGAGGGTCAATTTCTAATGAAAAACTCACAAAATGCTCCATTCATTCTTGCCATTTCTTTACTCAATATTTCAAGACAGAGTCTCACACAGTCGCATTGAAGTCGCAATCAGTGCAATTGTGAGCTGAAGTGCACATGCAACTCGCTCTAAATGCTGTTCMTCAGCAGGCTCCACACTCAGCACACGCTTTCATTAAATCCATTGAGAGCTACCAGCACCACATGCAGCCTGCAGCTCTTCACCTGCATCGCCCTCAGATCTCTCAGCTTCTTGACACTGCAGCTGAATTAGAACTGCTTTGAACTTTCTAAGAAACAAAAGAAATTAACTGAGGCCTTTATAAGACAACATCACAAACATACCTGAAAAAAGTACCTGCTTAAAAAAAAGCCAGCCCCAAAATTTCCTTTGCAGTCATCTTGCCATCTTATCAGGATACACCAGCAAGTTTCACAAATCACCTCATATAACTGTTTGGATAATTCCTCTATTTGTACATGGAGAAAATTTTCCAGTGACCTCTTTGGCCACRGCTAGCTCCTACAATGTAAATCATTCAGCATGTAACACTCAGACCCAAACGATGGGCAAATGAGTCACAAAATTCAGTATGACCTATAAGAGCGTAATGAGGCTCACGGTTATTGTAGTGTCTAGGTAATACTGGGTTGCAAATCATGAAACTTTTTGCCCAGACTTCCCTCTCTCTTACTTAGGGATACTGGAGAGCTTCAGACCTTCAGACACTACCCATGAGCTAACCTTAACAACGTGTTCATAACCTGGCTTTTCAGGACTGCTTTATTCTTAGCATTTTCACACATCTGCTCTCATTGCAACAACCTTCTACAAATTCAGACTAATCCTCTTGATACTCATTTCCAGAGGCCAAGTGCGATAWGCAGCTCTTGGTGTTCCTTGCTTGTGGGAGGCAAATGGCATTAAAAAAGCAAAGCAGAGCAGTGGGAGGTGTGTAGCAGCTATCATGACAACTTGGATGCCTGTACCGGATTAACCAAATTAAATGTCAAGTGTCTAAATTCCCTTTGTACTAAGCCATCCTTGATCACTTTGTGTGTGACAGCCCCTTTTAAGTGTTACATCATACTACATATTGTAATAAATACAATAAGCACAATAATACAGCAGTTACATATCCTRTGTAGACAAAGGTACTCACATGGAGCCAAGAGAATTATGAGCTAAGCTGTGTTACTGACAGATTGAGGAAGGCAGAGACAGAAAATGAGGGTAATACTATCAAAATATGCCCAATATAATCTTAAACGTCCAAGTTACTTGTCATACTGATCACTTGTCAGAGCAGCTTCTCTACCACGCTCCTCCATCATGCTTCCTGAGACTTTTAGAGATCTTAAACATGGGCTCTGGATCACGACCAAAAGTATCCTGTAGTCCCCGAGGGCTGAGTCGTGACTTCAGCTTCAAACCCAGCCAAAATACACACGGCTGAGCATCCCATCAGACACCAGGGCACGGCTAACCTGCCAAAAGCAGCCTGTCACACTGCATATCCCCTAGCTGCAGAAACAAATTTTCTCCTGCTCTTAGAATCAAGATGCCTGGCTGCAGTTTCAAGACAAAAAAAGAATATTCCCTACTGAAAAACGTAGGAAAAATCAGACTGTCTCATAGTTCTCACCGAGAGCTACTCAAAAACCCAGGGGCTCAAGCATGGATGAAGATTAACAACCTTCCCATTTCATTTTACTGCCTGCCTTCACTGCAGGTTGGTGACTACCAGCCCACAGTGCTATATATCAAATGTTAATAGTTCTGTGGTAGTATCTGTTGTGGTTATTATTAGCCCACAGCAAGTGGGAGGAAACCTCCCTTCCTTCCATGTGGACTTCACAGAGACACATTTACTATTTGTTTTTACTTTGCCAAGTCCCTCAGACTCCAACTGCACACACTCCAACAAGCAGCTCTCCAGCATTAATTCCCACCCTGCTCAGGACACGATCCATCCTTCATAATATCAAGCAGCACTGCTAGGATTCAGCTTGTTTATACACTGCTTTAAGTAGCCAAGGAGAAAATGCATGAATGAGACCTTAGGGAAGAAAAGGCAGCTAGAGCAGCTATAAGGCAAGGGCCACCATGCACGAGCCTCCGTGCAGCTGCAGGAGCCTCTTGGCCAGCCCTCCTATAAAAGCACTGCCGGAAACAAGATGCAGTGTTGCAGGGAGCACCACAACAGGAGAGAAACCTTGTGCTAATTATAGTCTCCGCTCCACAGTATTCCTCACCCTAAACTAATTGGGTCCATTTTTAGAGATATTTATTTAAACTTACTACAATTTTTAAAATGTGGACACAAAGCAAAGATAGATCAACAAAATCTGCATTCCCTAGCTAACAAATAGTTTTCTGTATTTAAGCTGGAAACTTCACACACACACACACACATATATATATATATATATATGCACATTGCAATATATTGAAAATTTTTCAAGGGACTCTAGCTGGAAGCAACACAGTTTGTCCATGGTTTAACACATCAGCAGGCTCTAGCACAGCAAACACTACAGTAGGTGAGAGATAATTAAATAATGAAAAAAAAATATATATTCTTAGCACCACAGGTTCTCTTAAGAAATAAAAAAGTAGTGTCATCATCTTTGACTGTGATTTCAAGCTTTTTATATGCATCTTAGATCACCTGAGAATACAAATCCGACCTGCCTCAGGTATGAGCACACAGTCCCATCTCTGTTAACTTGCCCTATCACATGGCTTAGCATTGAGCACACTCTGTGTCTGCGGAGTAAAAGTGAGCCCTGTCCCATTTCTATAAAGCTTCCCAGGCTTTTTGAGCAAGTCTGGATGAGCAGCTTGAGGATATATTAGTGCTTCACAGTTTGTATCACATGGCTGGTAAGATCTTTGATCTGCAGCTAGGCACTTCCAAACCAGGCTCTCCTTGTGAAGCCACAGCCTTAGGCTATGGTAGGAAAAGTCAATGCATCCAAAACTTTAACCCATACAAGATCTTCAGCTATAGTTGTGTTGTGTTTTCTTAAACCCTGCTGTTTTTCTTTACTATATTACTGCAGTCTTTCTAATCAATGTTAACTAAGGTGCATGTAACATTCCAAAGCGGAAAAAGTTCAATGGAAAATATCCTAATTTTCTTACCCCTGAACACTACAAATGGCAGTRTATGGACTGGCCATGGACAGAAAAGAGCTCTCCTTCATTTTCTCTCAAGGAGAGTTCGAACTACATTGCTCTAACTGTGAGCAAAACATCCTCATACCAAAACAGCCCCATGTGAATGCTGAAAGCATACTTTACTTAGGATGAAGCATACTTCACTTAGGATAACTGAAATGCAAGTAAGCACAAACACAAGCCCGAATTACAAGCCCATGAACGTTCACTCAGATCAGGGAACTGCAGAGACGGAGGAGTCACCATTTGCAACTACAACTGGGGCACAGTGTGCACAAGGACAGCACTGACAAAAAAAAAGACAACCTGAACAGAGAAAGAAAACTAGGAATTTCTTTTTTTCCTTTGGTGAAGGTAGCTATTTGCTGCAAGACAGACCACTGTCAGAAACCATAAGGCCTTGCCTCCTGGAGACAGAAAAACAGGAAATTCAATGGAATGAAACCCTTGTGCTTTTCTTGGGAAAGGTGCAAATAACTGTTGTCTCTTGAACGCTCTCAGAGTGCTTTTCTTGTGCCCTGGCAGGTTCACAGAACTTGCAGGAACTGCTCAAATTGCTCAATTCCTAGAGCAAGCCAAGGATTCATAGATGAAGCAGAGCCAGTGGCAAATTCAAGCTCTGAGAAAAGAGAAGGTGTCTCCTTCCACAGGTCTTAGAGATGCCTTTAAGTATGCTTCATCTCTAAAGCTGGTAGAAGCCCGTTTTCTTCACCACTTGTCTATCAAAATGTGACAGCAATCTTTACTGCTTTGATATATAAAAGCAAAGAGACAAACAGAAAAGCAGTGTTTTGTTTTTACCTGACACTGGCTCCTTTAAGATCACAGAAGTGTGTGAGTAAAGCTTTCACCACGTCCGTGCAGACAACTTTAACTACATCAATGTGACTCAGCCTCTGTCGCAGCTGCTTGGCAATCTCCCAAAAGTCTTCGGAGAGCAGCTGATACAGCTGCCCTTCATCTCTGCTGAGCTGCCCATACCAGGACAGGATGTAATCTCTATAGCTGTAGTCGAACACTAAAAGGAGAAAAAATAAAAACAATAAATATATAAATCTGCAAAAGGGGAAAACACACCAGGAGAGTACAGAATTAACCCCTTACCCCACTCCTCCACAAGCTCATGGCTAAAAGGCTGTGGATCTCACTCTTTCGGTTAATATTCTCTCCAAAGAGAGAAAGGTTGGTGATGTTAAAGAAATCTTCACCTAAGAGAGGTTACTGGCGGTCACTCTGCAAAGCCAGTAAGTGGATTTGGTCATAGAGGCAGGTTACCAGCAATGCACAAACCTTGAACTAATACCTGCCTCTCAGGCAGTAAGTAGATTTGATTATGTGAACTATCATCTAATTTGGATGTGGCAGACCAAAGCCAACCTTTCTTTAAATATGAACTCAATTTCAACTCCAAAGCCACTGTTAAAGCAAGCGGCAAGATTTGGGGAGCTCAGAAGACAATACTGACAATGCTTCCGAGGGTCAGAGCAGCTAGATAGAGAAGAGAGAAAGGAGATTAGTGAAACAGCAGGAACCATAAAAATACCGTGGTATTCCAAGCTATATTTATAAGTAACAACCCAGGTAAGTGTAATTGYAAATTTCTCAGCAACACCATTTTCCATTGTTTTTCTTTTTGACAACATTTGTGTTTAGCCAGTTTTACTGATGCTTTAGTGGCAGATGTCCCCRGAGCTCCAGAAGGGAGCAGGAGGTGCTCAGGAAGCACACATGATGGGCCATGTTCAGCACTGCCAAAAAGGTGCAAAAAAGCAGAATATTAAAGAAAAAAAAATAGTAATAAACAAACACCTACTCAGTTTGCTACTAAGGAATAAATCAGGGAGGAAACGTCAAACACCTAAGAATCTGAGCAACTTCTTTATCAGACATCCTGATCTGGGACTTCCAATATAAAATGCATGCTTCATTTGTCAGAATAAGTCCATAGTTTAAAGTATTCATTGATTCATCATTTCTTGCTTTCTGCTCTGAAGGACACTGTTTGTGTGGCTGCGTAGCAAACTACTGAAATCTCCCTGGCACTCTGACAGTGAACTAATGTAATAATAGCATAATAACTTACAATGAATACTTTGCCTGCCTGAAATACTGACTTCATTCTACATTGCCTYGCTTAACAAAAAAAAAAGAGAGAAGATTAAAGGTTTATAAAGAAACTTAGTTCCCTCATTGAGACATCATACATTAAAAGCCTTTTACTAAGTCATCTCAAGGCTTCTAAAATGAATTATTCAGGGCAAAAAAGGAACTTTTCACCAAATAAACAAATAGATGGAAGCTTTGAAATTTCAACACTTCATCCTGATCCACAAGGGAAAAATACTAAAAAATACTAAACACTTTGATGAATGGGAATTGCAAACTCTGAAACTGACCCAACTTCACCCCATTTTAAAAACGGAAGAAATTGTATTACACTGAAACCTACATTCAATAAAGACTGATAAAAAATGGTTATAAAAGGTGAAGATCATGTGATAAAAGAGCAGAAGAGTAATGCTTCCATACATCTAAGATTAACTGGGAAGAGTATTTTTAAAAGTCTCCTGTAAGTCTCCTATGACAATACACATTTTCCTAAGTGTTTTTCCCACACTGTTGTCACCATGTCCTTCTGCAACCACCCTTTTCTGCTTGAGATTCTCCTCTTCTGCTGCATTCGAAATGCTCTGGAAAGCCRCTCCCAGCAAGGGTACTTTCTTTTCAGCTATTCTACAAGACACCCATCATTTCCCAAGTGCATTCAAACATGGTGCACTGGTGATCATTATCACTCACAGATGATCTCTTGCAGACATGTTCTGTACTCTAAAGTAAGTGCAAGAGGGCAAAGGCATGAATTTTTTCAGCTGCCCTTTGCTTAAGAAGCTGAGCTGGGCTGCAGGGGAGTGAGGGCGCCTTATCTCTCCAGGGTAGAACTCCTCAAAAACAGAGCAAAATTCACATCTCAACCTCCCAGACTCTATTCTCTTTCAGAACATGTAGCTATTCCAATCAATCCTTAATTTGTAATTGCACTTTCACGCTACCCTTCTCCCAAATAAACCTAGGTCCTAGTTCTCTCTATAACTGCTGTCACATGCAATGTTTAATTTCCCCCCACAGTACTGTCTGTTGTAGTCGAGCACACCATTCAGATAGGTGACTGTGCTAATTACTACGGTAATTTGAGAGCACAACCCTCACAATTTAATTAAACTGACAGTCAAAATATCTGGAACAAGAATTATTAAACCAGAAAGACACCCGCTCAAACAAGGCAAGGCGATGATGATTCTTTTATGTAGGTGCATCACCAGGAAAGGTCCACAGAATTTCAGTTTCAGAAATTCAGTTTCAAACTAAAGATCACTAATTGTGGCCAAAAATTAAGCTGTACGAGTCCTAAACATTTCACTTTGCTGGGGGTTTCTGTCAGTTAYACACTTCCAACACCCTAAATGGATTTTCTCATTTTCAAATGTATTTTCTACACCTACCTTTTCTATATTTCTCTACCTCTTTTCTAGAATTTAATTATCACTCATGAGCATTGCTGCCCTCTCTGAATGACAACAGCTGAACTGTGCTGTTTTCTATAAAATCTGGCGTACTTTAAAGACCAGAACACATATGTATGCCAGAGCCCCAAATGAACAGTGACACGAGTGCTAGAGCTTGATTTGCTGGTTCACTTATCTATTTACCTAAGCAAATACCAAGAGACCGAGTATTAAAGCATCAGCCGCGGCCCCTAAGAGCATCYTGTGCTAGGATGGCACTGTCTCATCAGCACGTGTCACCCTGGCCATGAGGMGCTGTCACTGCTTTAGGTTTCGGCCTGTGAGCACAGCTGGGGCCTCTCTGGATACCCTACAGAAACACAAATGCAAGATGGGTTTTTTTCAGGGTGGTTTGCTTCCTCTAGATGAGGAATCTGCTTGTCCATTTTTGTTGTTTTTACATTGCTTGTTCCTTAAAACATAGAAAACTACTAGTGTGAAAAAAAGAAAGGAACAATAGGAGCAGAGGGATACTTAGGGCAAGCCCCAGGTCAGCGTCTCCCAACATAATCCAAACAGATGCCTCTGAGTGAATCAGAAGTGCAGATGCGATGAGACTGCTACAACACTGCAGAAATTTCTGCTGGATTCCCTAAATTAAGTTAGATCCAGGCTCCCAACTGTAATAAGCTGAATAAAAGCCATTCCCACATAAATGTGAAGTTGGGCCTATTCAATTAGTCTTTTTAAAGACTGTAGACTAAGGCAGTGCTGGCAGTACACGGCCAGAAGCTTTGTGCGCCTTTCACACAAGCCTGAGGCAACTGCTACCGGCTCTTCTGCACTGCTCAGGGTAATGTGGTGTGGCAAAACCCTACCCAGCAGCTCACACTGGCTTCAAATCTGTGATTTACAGAGCTTTGCACTAGGCAGATACTACACTGTTAAGTTTCATTGCCTATCTTTGTGAAAAAACAGGCACAGAAATCTGACTGTTCGCAGCAAGGACTACATACTAGTCCATTTTCTCAAAAGAAAATAAAAAGTAAGACCTGAACCACATTCTCTATGTCAACTACGTTAATACATACACAGACCACCAAGTTTCAAACAGACAAGTAGGCATCTTTTTCTGAACATACATGGGAAGAAGGAAAAACAAAAATCTGTTACGGTCAAATCCAAAGCTCTTCTTGGACTATATTAATCAAGAGAAGGCTGAGTCTCAACACTGAAATTTGTTCTGGTTTCAGCTATTCTGCACCAACAAGCCTCACAATCAGTAAAATAAAAGTGCAACATTAAATCTGTTAAGATCCTGCATTAGGAAACCACCAAACAGCTAAGAGTCATTGTAAAGCTGTCCTATCACAGCACCAAATTCAAGAGCACCAAAATCCAACAAAACAAAGAAGCCCTACCTTCATCCTGAATTCAAAATAAAATGTTTCTCTATTAAAGCCTTAGAGAACGGCTTATAAATAATCTGAATGCATTCAACTCTCATTTCTAGTAGATTATTAATTTCAAGGGATAAATACCATTTATTCATTGTTGTATTTTAGCTATAGTTTTTGCCATACAATACAAATCAAAACAATGACTTCTATGCTTAAAAGTATCTTTATTTACTGAAGTTTCTTATGCTCAAGAAATCTTCATTTAGACTATGGTATTAAAGGCTGGCAAAATTCTGTGCAAGCTCCCAGACTTCAAGAACTGCGCATCTGCTTCAGGTACTAGCTATAAATGCTGTTGTTAGATTTAAACTGCCTTATTAATGTTTAAGCTAGGAAAAAATAYCAACTTTTCATGATATGCTCACATTTTCTAACATTACTCAAACCCTATAAAATGGTCATGTTTCCTAAGAGAATAGATGTTATCATTGCATACATAAATGGATAGCTTCTATGTAAAAGAGTGTGGACTCTCTTGACTTGCATTTTTAATTTTAAAAAAAAAAGGAGCTGTTTGGGTTGAATTTTGAGTGCTGTGAAAAAAAATACAGCTTTTCAAACAAAGCAGGGCAGGAGTTACGGTGAATTTTGTTTCTAAATATCAAAGAGCAGATCTTAAATTGGGAAATACGATACAGCGGAATAAAGCTTTTTTATAGCAGGAAGTCCCTGTCCTAAAAACTGAAAAAAAAAATCTATTTCAAAACACAGATAGGTGAGATCTCATCCAAAGATATAATCTACTCAGATTCCCAATGTTTTCAACAAGACCTCACTCAAGAAGTGCTTTAAAGGAGGCTAAGCAACTATGGAGTAAGAGGTGGCATTCTGGCATGGAATATTTTAAGAGATGGGAAATAAAGGACATGATTAAATAGACAATTTTCATAGCTGAAAAAAAAAYTGCTAGCATATTTCTGGTGAGATTTGTATGAGTGCCCACACTGTTTTATTTGCTTGTTTGTTTTTTACTCATAAATGACCCCCAAAGGTAGATAATTAATAAAGAGACAAAGTTTTCTCAAACTACTGAGTCACTAGAGGTAGCAAGGTCAAAGACTGACTGCGAAGAAGAGCAGAAATACCACAGGATACTCACTAACTGGATGTTAAAATGGAAAACGAACTTCAACTCCTGGGAGACTGGATAAAAAAAATCATGGCAGATAAATCTGCTGACTGTTATGGCCCTCAGCCTAAACATTACATTGCACAAGGACTTGGATCTGACCCCATTTAGTCTCCCTTAAAAGACATTTGCCTGAACTATCTTGCTATATGGGATAAAAACACGAGGTCATCAGAAAAGAAACATGCAATGTTAAAACATGAAGTATTAAAGTACTTATAAAACTAGCCCATCTTTTCTCTGCGCAAAATAAAAGCAGCACAAATGATAATCAAGCCAACTCATTAATAAAAGGCTAAAAAAATCATTTCACTATTAGTCACATAAGCACGACCAATCAAAAAAGGACTTAAAACTACAAGGCCATCTTTCCAGCACATCCAGCAAGGAAAGTCTACTTATTTTACAATTGTTCTATTTTTGGACCCTTCATAAAAAAAGCTGCCTGCCAGCAGGGCTGGTTCGTAGCCTTCCCCTATCCAGTATCTGCAGCTTACGCAAGCAAGCTCTAATTAAGTCCATAAAAAAGCACCTGAAGCACTGTCCTCTTATACTATTATGTTRTCAATGCAGGATAGGAAAAAAAGCAGATAACTAAGCAGTAGACAGAAATAAACRGCAGTTCCTTTCTGGCAGAGTAAGCAACTACGTTTTAGAATGACAGTTCTAAATAATGTTGTTATGCTGCCTTTGGCAAGAAGCAAAACTATCCAAGACAAGGAGACTATTAACAGCAGATTAGTAGCGAGGAAAAAGCCCATAATAGTTTTAAGTTTATTAAAATAAGACTGCTTACTAAAATCAGTTTATAATGGAAACATAAATAATTCCTTCAATTAAAAATAAGGATGGCCACCAGTATCTATCCTTCCAACTGTATTAATAGACTATACGAAAGATGCCAAGGAAAAGAACAAAGTAGCTAAAAGCATCTAATGAGAGCTTAAGTAAAATTTATGTAACAMAGACGTTAAAGAACAGCTGAAGTAGTCAAAATTAACCAAAAGGCTGTCTTTTTATATCCAGGAATAAAATTTCTGAAAGCATTTCTGTTGGCTCCTCTAAAAATGTTCCCCTTGTATCTTCAAGGGAAGGTAAACCAAAATAAAATTGGATTTAAAAAAAAATGCCAAATCCCATAAACCATGACAGTCTGACAGTATTTACTGAAAACCTCATGTGGCATTGCCAGAAGTCTGAACTTTTCCCCAGATCATCACCTTAGGAGAACTGAAAATCTACTACCTGGACAAGACTCTAAAACATTTTGTGGAATTTCACCTTAGATCTAGACAGTTGATAGCAAGCAAAATACCTGGGAATTACAAATGCTTTTTAATTCTCATCACTGTAAGATTACAGCATAGCAGAAACAAAACAAATATGGAGAGGACCATTATTTATCATTATTTAACCCTGAGCCTGTAAATAAGTGTTCATGGCATAAAGACAGCTACAGATTTCAGAACTGTTAAAGAGCAAGGAATGTGACCTCTCCACAGAGCGTTTTATTCTATTAAAAGTAAGATATTTCTTTCGGGGGATCATCCAACATCTCATATTTGAGTGACTTAAAAAAAATGCTTAAATCTATAGATAATAGAGCAAACAGAATGAAAGACGCAGTCTCATCATGATAAATTGTGTAGCTGGAGACAAGTTGGCTTCATTAGTCACTTAATTAGGCTTGGGAGAAATATGATCAATCTGACAACTTTATTGTCCAAAGCACACAGTGTGAAGGTAGTATCTATTCTGAAAAGAAAGAGCAGAAAGACAAGTGAGCTGTCATGATGGTAGGTCCTAACTCAAAAAAGAACATYATTTATCCTTGGTAAATTTCTTTTAGCTTACTGAATAAGGATACAGTTATGTATCTAACTGAATGATCTGCTGAATAAATACCTCAGATGAAGAGCTGTCATGTTTTTTACAAACATACAGGTTTCTCTTATGTGCAAGTATCAGAAGGGAAGTTAAACACAACTCTTTCCTCCAATATTCCACAAAAGCTGCTCTCTCTCTTTCCAAACTGCCCCACTACCTCTGAATTCTTGCTGGTTAAATAAAGGTTTCTTTTCCAATTCCAATGTATGTATCCAAAATGCAAAGTATGTAAGTGGAAATACAGCATATAACTGGAATATGTTTCTTTGAGAGATGCAATGTTCATACTCCACCATTCGTTCCAAATGTCATCAGGACTCCTATGATCTGGCATAATCCATGTAAAATGATACCTAATAAACTACTTAGTTTAGAGGCCAAAARAAGCTCAGTGTCCTCTTATCCCACTTCAGACTCACCTTCTTTGAGCGCTTTATCCATGTTGTGAGAAATGACCACCCTCCTGGTCTGCACCGAGTCAGGAGCACTTCCAGACCAGTTACTCTGAAACAAGAGAACATTCATAGTAAGAGGAAGGAATAAACCAAAAACAACTGAAGGAAGAAAAAAAAGGACTGGAAGACAAGGTGGTAACACTGGTTTTTTGGCGATTTTTTGTTTTTTTTTTTCCCCCCTTACTACAGCTATTGGCACTCCAAACAATTAAAGCCAAACAAGTGACAAGTGCTTAATGTAGAGCTCACGCTAAGGGCACAACAATCCCCACTGTTGGGCACTGCCCAGCTTGGCAAATTCTCTTAAGGTTGTTTTGTTTGAAAAGGGAGCTGCATCTATTTGCAATTCAATGCGGCCAGCATAGCACACATGCACTTGGAGAACAACTGCACATCTTCTATTCAGCATTTCCACAGCCCCGCCAGACCTCGGAGACAGGTCAAAGGCAAATCCTCCCAGCTTCCAAACGCTATTGACTTCTCTTGGCCTCATGAACTGCTTAAAAAAGGACAGCGAGAGCCTCAGCTTTCTTATAGTAATTTTGAAGGAAGAAGCCCCAGAAATATATGAATCAAAAATTCTTCTGGCTACTGCATCAAATGCCTYTGCATTAGACAGACATTTGTCTGTTTTGAATATTAGCTCTCACAGCGTCTAAGCAGGTGGGCRGGTGGAAAAAACATTTTTTCTGGACGCAGACAGCAGCCTGTGACGCTGTCCCCACACACAGAGGGACAAAACTACACCGGGAACAGAAGCTGCCACTGCCATTCAGGCACCCTCGCTCCCACTCCCTAAATAGAGAATAAGAAGCTGCATCAGCMTTAAGGGAGGTTAACCAGAGAGAGTCTTCAGTGTTTTTAAAGGTGGTGTTGAGGGTGTTTTGGTACAACATATTTTCTTTCTATTGCAGATACGCACACRGAGAAGTCTATCACAAAATGCATCTCATGAGATGTGGATCAAACAACTGAAGTGCTACCGTACGAGCAAAACATTTGCACGCCTCAAGCACCATTCCCAGGGATATTCTCCACACTCTGAGTGCCCTCCCGTCTCCCAGCAACTTCCATCCCTACTGAATTTGTTCCAGCATTTCGGAGAGGTTAGCAATACCTCCAGACCTCTTCCAACACTGCTATGTCCTTAGCCCATTTTTTTTTGACTKCAGTATCAACAGCAAGAGAGCAAGACTCCAGCATATTCACGTCTGTTTGCTGAACCTCTTTACTCTTCCTTAATTGCAAATTTGATAGCAAGAATGATTTTAAATAAAAGAGAATATTATCAAATTAACGATACTCCTACAGATTTCCAAAGTCCCCACTTACGTGAATATGAAGGTAACAAAAGGTTAAGCCATTACCACATAACCAGTTCCAGCAGAGGTCTCCAAACAATACAGGTCAGAAATCATCTTGATGTTTGGAAGAACATCTAATAAAAAGGTGTGTAAAATGCCAATATGCCACTCGCAACTTACTGCACTCCCCTAACACCAAACTGTTTTAAAACTAGTCGCACCATTGCCTGAGGATTTTTCTGCTTTATCTGCAGCAGCAGGAAATAAGATGATTCACAACCACTGCAATTTAATATAGATACTCACAAAGACATTACACATTCTCAGTACATTTGRGGCCTAGAGGGGAAAGGAATTCAGAAACCGCTGTAGGCAAAGCCACCAAGGTCTTTCTCTAAAGAAAGGCCTCCTGGTTCATGCTATATATTCGACATATTCATTTTTTTCTAGTATTTGTTCTAGCTTGGGAGCCACACCAGATTAAACTTGCGACTTAATCAAGTCACAACCGCACGGAGTTGGGAATCCCGATCCCTTTGCTTGGGCAGCAGGGCTCCTCGCAGCCTCACACGCCTTGCAGCGAGCGCCCTTCCAACCTAAAGGGCTCCCACAAGGTGCTAGACAACTTTCTCCCTCTCAAAACTAGTTTAAACACAAGCTGAGATAAGAACATTTTTGATGCYGTGCTCCCACTTTTGCTGCCTCTCACTTTAGGACTTCCTTGGGGCCGAGGAAGATGTGGATTTGGGATCGCAGCTTGCCCACCACACAGGCAAGCAGCAGAATCCAAGATCCACAACTGYACAGAACAGCCTCCTGGTACAACCTGTCTTCTCTATTTCACTCTTGAGCRTTCTTATGCTAACAAAACAAGACAGGAAAGTACTGCGGCAGTGGTTAAGCAGCAGTATTTCACAGAGACACAAAAGCCTCACTTCAGTTTGTAAAAATCTACTTCACTGACAAGTATTTGGTGTGGCTGATAGCTTTCTGCTAAATGGCATCAGTTTTCCATTAAAAAAAAAATCAATTATTTGCATTGATGGGCATCACAAGAAAATCCTAATCAGACACATCATCAAAAAGAAATAAGAAAAAAAAAAAAAGCCTAAAAAGTGAATATTACCGTTAGCAATACTGATTACAAACACCGTTATTAAAGGACAAAAGAAGGGGTACTGGATTTTCTGAGAAACACTCCGTTTTAATATAGGTACAATATTACTGTGCAGGTACAATTGAGAACAGTATCACAGACAGCCCAAGAGAAACATGCGGAATACAGAAAAAAAAGGCCAACCTATCTTAAGCTCTGTTTAAGAACAAATTTTCAAGGACAGCTGAGAATCTAACACATAAATAAATGGAACTACTTAAAAGCATTATAAAGAGATGCTGGCTGGTCTTGTTCATCTTTAAGAAATGGTAAGGGGAGACCTTACTGCTCTACATTTGGACTACTAAGCTTAGGTAGCGTTAGAACTAACAAATGAGAGGCTACAGAAAATATGAAGCCAGACCCTTCCYGGAGGTGCGCTGCGATGAGATTAGAGGAAAGAGACAGAGCAGGAAATTCCAGCCAGATATAAGGCAATTTATTTAGCTATTTATTTAAACCATGCCGCTGGTCAAATACCGGAGTGGCTGTGGAGTCTCCATCCTTGGAGACGTTCCTGCCTGCTCTACTTGGACCCACTCGGAGCAGGAGATGGGACTAGATGAACTCCAGAGCTCCCTTCTAACCTGAATTATTCTGATTCTGGATAACCTTGCAGAGAAGCTAATTTAATTTAGAGACTAATCTAATGACCCAGACACTGATTTGCCTTCCCTCGAACAGCTGATCAAACACAGGGTCCTCCAAACCTTCTTCTGGCCTTATGAACTTTCATTTAGCAAAGTCTCTCAGGCCTTACTAGTTTTGATCTGCTTTTTTAAAATAAAAAGGTTTACCTGCACCTATGGTAACAGAAGATTTCAGAAAACTCGAATTCCAACCTCAGCTTTAAAGCAGAGAAGAATCCAGCATACCTCACTGCAAGATCTCCTTGCCTTCCTAGCCCCAAATAAGATGGGAAGAGGAGGATGTAAGCAGCAGCTGTACTTTATTAAAAAGGCATTCAGCTCAAAAGCTTCAACTATGAGGCTTTCGGGTTTTTCTTTATGTCACTCATCATCATTTAGTTAGTCCAAAGCTCTAGCCTAGATGCTCTGTCACTGACCAGAGCTGGTGTGCTGGGGTTTCACTTACAGAACACAACAACTACATCCCCTACCTCTGATGTGGACTATCAAAAAACAGGTCTCCCTTCTGCAGAGGTTACTGTCAAATCAGGAGGATTTAAGCCAGACTCAAGCTAAGACTTGACATAACAGCTTAAAGGAGAGAGGGGGCACTTCTGTAAAAAACACGTCAAGAAGGAGACTCCTAACAAAGAGCCTGTTTCCTGGAACAGGCCATTCGTTCCCGCTTAGCTTTGAGCTTGTTTGCAGCCTGGAGAAGGGATGTGCACATTTCCTGGAGACTTCTGAACAACACGACTCATTGTTTGATACTTTGGGGAACGGTGTAAGATGCAGACTTAAGATAGCCTAAAAGGCCTGACATAAAGTCTAGGCTGGCACTGCTGCAAAAGAATACTGCATTAATGGCATTTATTGTTCACAACAATTAAAGCAACTCAAAATACACTTAAAAAAAAACACAAAAAAAACGACAAACCCCCTAAAATGCAAATGTTAGATGACAGAGAATTAAGCAGGTGTTTCCCAAAACAAGCCAAACAAGTGGTATGTCCGGGAGCACCCGGGAACACCTTGCATTGCGAGCACAGCTCAGCAGCCTAGTGCAAGTCCCAAACAAGACAGGAGAAACAGCCACACGACAGGCAACCCGCGCACACACTTACCCTGCCCTAGAATTAAAGCCAGAAGCAGAGAAAAACTAACAATTACTCCTATTACATTAATTCAATTACAACAGGGCTGAGTCAGGGCTGAGAACGGAGCCCCGGAGCCCCTCAGTCTCCACCTGGGACCCAAAGGCAAGGACAAGGCCTAGCCAGCTCCATCGCTCACGTCGTCCTCTTCAACACCGGGCTGCACTTGGATAACAAAGAGCTACTACTTCAGACGACGTTTTATTGAATTCTCCCTAAGTCCAGCTTGAACAAAGCTGCATAGAGGCTTTCTTTTTTTTTTTTTCTTTTCAAATTTCCAAGATTATCTCACTCGCGATACAAAAGCAAGTTTTCCACTCACAGATAGTCTTCATTATCAGCACCTTTATTTCTATTTTAGGTTAGAAAGAAAATACGCATGAATCACACTAAGGATTAATCCACACATATTAGGGAATACTGTAATGATCAATTAAAAAGCAACTTGTTTAAAGCATGTTACTCCCATTCTGTTAAGCACTATTATCTTGATAATGATGTTGTCATATCACCATGCCTTATTTCCACTAATGCACAGCTTCTATAACATGTAAACAAGATTTATTATATGGTGATCTTCTGCCTTAAATGCCCTTATAGTTCCTTACAGCCCTTACAGACAAGTGAGTATACGATAATTAAACTTATTTAGATAACGTGTTCATTACCATTAGTAAAGCTCAGAAACAATTTGCAATGTTAGCATTTAATTTTTTTTGCCTAGCAAGAAATACAAGTTTTCTCTACTGGGATCTTTAATAAAATCTTAAAAAAAAAAAAAAAAAAAAAAAAAGGGTTATG